AGGGAAAAAGCACATGTGCAGTCATGTACAGAGCATGGCACAAGTACCTGGAATGGGCAGCTGATGCACACAGTGCAATGCTGCGTATGAAGCAGTCTCATGGCTTCTTCCTCCACTGAGCCTCTTCCCATTGAGACAGACATTTACTATTTATGGGAGAGGATAAGATCAGAGGGCAAGTTATGTCATATTTTACACTCCTAAGTCCATAGGCACCAACTGATCAGTCAAGCAAATTCTACCTTTTTAGCCCCTTTCCTCTTTTCCTAGCAAAGTAGTCCCTGGGAAAATGTTTTAGCTGCATGTGCCATATTTTATCTAAGTTATTTAGATTTTTTCCCCTCTGTATTCTGTCAAGGATAGTCCAGGCAAGCCCGATCTTGGAAGCTAAGCAGGGCCAACCCTGGCAAGCATTTGGAAGTGAGACCTCCAAGGAAGACCAGGGCCGGAACACAGAGGAAGGCAGGCAATAGTAAGCCACCTCTCTGAAACGTCCAAGCCCCACTAGGGGTCACCAGAAGTCAACCATGACATCCAGGCACAAACACACAATACTCTCTCGCTCTCACACACAAAGGATTAGACTAAATCCTTATTTTTGGCTCAAAAGCTATCTTGAAAAGTATATTAAGTCAGGATCATCCAGCAGCTGCAAGTGGAGGAGTGGGGAATCAAACCTGGTTCTCCCAGATTAGAGTCTGTACACTTAACCACTACACCAAACATCCCTGTCAGGCAGGAGAGGATGACAGTGTATAACTAGCCCAAGGTCACCCAACGAGCTTCCATGTCGGAGCAGGAATTTGAACCCAGGCTCCCCAGATCCCATTCCCACACTCTAACCACTACAGCACACTGGCTCTACCACCACAGCAGCAAACTCTTGACAGCCTATTTCTTTCACAGGCATTCCATATACCTGTTAGGATTAGTGCCACACAGAAAAATATGGCAACGTGTGGTTGGAGAAATTCAGGAAGAGAAAGACCACACAAGCTTATGAACATTTTTATGAGGAAGAATAATTTCCATTAACAAGCTATTAGCAGCCCTGATGTTCTACTATGGCTGCTGAACTAACCCTCCATGAGTCTTGCATTCATAATTATTTCAAATGAAAAGTGGGAGATCAGGAAACACAGCCTATTTCAGACAAATGATATACAGAAGAAGAATAGAAGAGGAAGAGGAAAACTGACTACAAAACAGAGCAGAAAGAATGGCATGGGACCATGAAAAGAGAAGCGTGGTTGATGTTATGAGTCAGCATTAACAAAAAGAGAGCACAAAGGTCTTTTTGTCAATGCATACAGTGAGAATAGATGCAGTCTACGCTCAAGTCAATAACTCCTGTTCATTGCTAACACCCTGAGAGATGGGCGGTCACCCTGAAACATCAAACAAGGTTGTTACAATCGCCTGGTGTTCAACTGAGTTCCTACCTTACTTCACACTTAAAACCAGGAGATGCCTTTGACCAAATTGAGCAGGCCTATCATCAGAATCCTGACGATGGACTACGATGGCTTCAAAATGTGATACTGATTTAAAGAAAATGTTGCACCTCTCTGGAACTGTGTGTACGAGAGAGAGGACTTGTTATGTGCTCCTGCTGAGAGCTGCCCACTGCCAGAAGTTCTGCTCGTTAATGCTTTCGATTTCGATATTATTAATTAAACTAATCAGACTTGAAAAGCAACAACACATTCTCCTCATCTTTCTGTAAGCCTGGTGTTCAGCTGAGTTCCTACCTTACTTCACACTTAAAACCAGGAGATGCCTTTGACCAAATTGAGCAGGCCTATCATCAGAATCCTGATGATGGACTACGATGGCTCCAAAATGTGATACTGATTTAATGAAAATGTTGCACCTCTCTGGAATTGTGTGTACAAGAGAGAGGACTTCTTATGTGCTCCTGCTGAGAGCTGCCCACTGCTCTCAGTTCTGCTCAGTTAATGAGTTCTGCTCATTAAACCAATCAGACTTGAGAAGCAACAACACATTCTCCTCATCTTTCTGTAAAGTCCACCTAGTGGGTGGGATTCAGTGGAATGTTTCCACAGACAGAAGGGTTTCCATCTGTGGAAAACAACTTTATCACCTCCCCACTCCTACTACAGCCCAAAATATCCATTTGAGGCAGCAGTTTTCTATGAAGTCTGATTTCCTGATGTGGTCCACACTGTCAGACAAGAAGCTTCAGGCCTTTGTTTTAAAGTCTCATGGTTTAAGAGTACAAAATACTCTTGGTTATCGGTGGTTGGGAGATTGTGTGGTACTAGCAGCTAGAGGGCAAAGTGAGGAGAGAAACTCTTCTCATGATGAGTAGCTAAAATGACACAAAAATGGAATATAGGTAAGACTACATATATGCCATTATTTTGTGAGAGTTGGGGGGGGGGAAATCACAAAATGTAATAGTGGGTGCAGCTTCCCTGAACTTAAAGCTTCCACTTTTTAAAAAGCACATTACCAGGCCTCATTGATACAAAAGATATGCTTAAAAGTACCAGGGCAATGTCAGCTGAAGTCTAACAAACCAGAGGTAGCTTACTAAGAATCACAGAAAAAATTATTCAATATGAAAACAATGCTGAATAATAAATTATGTAAATAACAGAAACTATGCAAATTTGCTCAATTAGCATAATTTATACAGGGTACAGAATTCAGGATTTCTAGGAACAAAACCTTGACTGCCTCAGTGCAGATATTTCATTCACCACTGCCCTGAATATAGGAGTCTAGAACAGGAGCTGCCACAGCATAGTGGCAAAGAGAGTGATCTATAGTCCAAGGAGGTCTTCTGTGCAAGTCTCACTTTGGCCACAAACTCATTAGGTGACATTGGGCACATTGCTCTCTCTCAGCCCTCCAGATGAAGTACAGGGATAAACATACTGGACTTCCTTCCAAGGCTGCTATAGGAAGTACCAGATAATGCCTGTGAAGTGATCTGAACACAAAATGCATTATATAAATGCTAAGTGGTAGCATTATTATTTAAAGAAGAGCCAGGAAAGAGGCAGTGCCTGGCAGAGGAGTTTGTATGAAGAAATAAAGTCTCCTTGGGAAAACAGAGGCAACAGTTGTGGAATCAAAACACTATGATGCCTTCTGTAGGGCTGCCAGGCCTGGTCTGGTAACCAGCTGGAGACTGGGGATGGGGCATGATGCTACTTCTTGGGAAACCTGGAAGTGATGTCATGCCTCTCTAAGAACTGGCCAAAACTGTATGTTAAAACCACAACATTTTGGGCAATTCCTAGAGAGGACTGACATGAATTCTGGGGGTTCCCAGAAGTAACATCAGTCCTCTTTATGAATGGTTTGACCATAGAGTTCCTGCCAATCACTAGAGAGGTGTGACATCACTTTCATGTTTTCCCAGAGATGACGCCATGCCACTGGGAAAAGGCCATTTAATTTTTTTTATTTTTCTCAGAGGTGGTGGGAAATGACAGCTGGAGTCAGGGGATCTGAGGGATGGCTTGCCACCCTACTTCCCTAGATCAGGAACCCTAAATAACAACAAAGTTTTAGCTTAACTCATTAATAAAGCATGGGCTCAAAAAAGTGCCATCAAAAGACAACCTGCCCAGAAAGTAGTGATATCTCTGGGTTACCAACAGCAGATGTACAAATGGACTTGATATCAACTATAAATCCATAGGGCACAAGTAGCCATGTTAGTCATAGCAAAATGAAACAAAAGTCTAGTGGCACTTTAAAGATTAACCTTTATTTCACTGTGAACTGAACTGTGATCCATAAAAGATTGTATTAAAATAAATGCTGTTAGTTGTTAAGGTACCACTGGACTCTTATTTTTCTACAAAATACTGACAGAAATTTGTTTTCTCCCCAAGGAACCCTGGGAAGTATAGTTCTGTGAGGCTCTCTAACAGAAAATCCTCAACTTTCCTGGATTCTCTTAGGGAAGTTATTACAATTAAGCTGGCATAAAATTGGTAAGAATCTATAATGTAGCTACACTCAGAAATTTTACACTTTGACTACTGTTCCCTTTGTGCATCTCTGAGTTGGCTGCGACCTTCAGAATGTTCTCTTCAGAACACAGTTGCTATCAAGGATGTTCCTTAGACTTGCTCTGTAATCAGATTTTCTACAACAGCTGAGAACAGCATTCATGACTTGACAATAACAATTTCTAAAAACATATATATGCACCAGGATGGCATTTGCACGGCAGATGACAGGGTGCTGCAATAAAGCTTACTACTTGGCAAAATACAGCTCAAGCTTGGAAGGAGACAGCAAAGGACTCAGAAAACATACACATGGAAGGGTTGCAATGACACACAGCCTGAATGTGGGGGAGAGCTGATTTCCATACAATTCCCTCCCCTCTCTGAACATGCTGGAGTCAAAATGCCTTGACCTTCCAGGGTGTCACAAGCAAAAGTTAAGGGGGGGAGGGACACACCAGAGCACAACTTGTATCAAGGTTTTGCTGACAATGTCAGGTTCCACTTATAATTGTGTAATTATCAGAATTTTACTCTGAAAATAGCTACACCTTTTTTTACTACGAGTTCATGTGCAAAAAAAAAATGTTGGTTATCTGAACAATTTTGCTATTTTCAGACATTATGGTTGTACCAGAGCAGCGGAATACTCTCATCATCAAAAATTCATCAAAAAGTTATTGAATATGATCTAGTATGGCAGGCATGCAGCCAGATGCTTCTCTGAAAACCACCAGCAACATTTTCTTTTTTACATTCTAAAGACTTTGTCTAAGGGCCGAGCTATAAGATATGCCCAACATGTGCTGGGTCATGGGACAGCGATCAGATTCACAGTCAGATGTACATGTCATATGACCTAGGAAGGACACAAGGAGCCATAGAAAGAGGGCAAAGAGCCCAGCTGCCAGTCCTTCCTCTGGCAAAAACAGGGTGGGAAGGAAATCAGAACCTCTTCCCCCACCCCCCAGGGCTCCCTTGCAGTGCCGAGTGAACAATTGTTTTAAAGGCGTGTTCCCCATTATGTATGAGTATGGTCATGGACTCATGACCCAGGACATGTTGGGCATATTGTGTAATTATGCTTTACATTGATAGTGTGGTCTCTATTTCCCCATTTCTGAGACCAGAGTCCCTCAAAGCAGTGGAAAGTTGGAAGACGAGCCATAGAGCTCTCCTGATGCCTTTGGACACCGGAGGGATGGGAGGAGTCTGGCTATCACATTTACATCCCACCATTCCCCCAAGAGCTCAGCTCGTGCCCATAGTTTTCCTTCTCTACTTCATCTTCACAAGAAACCTGTGAGGAAGACTGGGCTGAGAGAGACTGGGCCAAAGTCACTTGGGGTCTTCATGGCTGATCATGGATTCGAGTCTGGGTCTCTTCAGTCTTAGTCTAACGAATATAAGACTCTCCCATTTTACAGGAGAGGCTTCTATTTTATTTATGCTATACTAGCCTGATATCCGTGCTTCGCTATGGTATTTAAGTTTCGTAAATCCAGTTACAATTCTGATGATGTGAAATCTGAAATGTGACATTTGTTGTAGGAATTATAATGGAGAAGTTTGTAGTGTAAGAAATGAAGTGAGAAATAGTATTTTTTCTCTCTCTACTGAAGGACCTCTCTGTAGACCACATTGGTGATTCTGCCCTCAGGTGCTAGGATCACCAGGCTGCTTGATGAGCTCACTCTGGAGCAGGCCACATAGAACTGTCCATTTAAGAAACAGTCGCCTGTCAAGTCAACTCCTGCTACCTTCCATGAAAGTGATGGCCTCTCTACTTGTGTTCCTGAATTGTTTTGCTCATATGGAGACTGTGTTGTTCTGAGCACCTCAGGGTGAACTTGCTTGTACTTGGCCTGTGCAGCTCAGTGCACTGCAGGAGTACTATGTGCAAATGTCTTTGCCACATTCTTAAGTTGCCTCCTCCTTGTAGCGTTGGTGTATCTGGCTCGACGTTTGCCAGGAGCTTTCTTGGGGGCAGTAAGAGGTGAGAGGTGTGAGGGGGAGTTGGTGTGAGGGTGATGCGGTGGACATTTATTCAGGTTCATGAGGGAGGCACACATCGAAATGACTCCTAGAAGTGTCCTTTACTATCTCCCCATAAACATTCATACCCTGGCCCTGCTCCTACACCTGCCAGACACCGGCCTGTCTGGTGCTGGGGGGGATTATGTTTAAAGGCATCGCAGAGGCTGGGCCAGCAGCAGGGCTAAGGCAATCCTGCTGAGCAAACCTCCATGGCGGCTGTAAGCATCCCACCTCCTCTCCTACACCTGACACGCAGCTGTCTGTCTAGTGTAGGATGGGGAGGGGGGAGGAGTATTAGAAGCCACTGTGGAGACAGGGCTGGCAGGATCACTAAGGCGTTACTGCTGGGGCAGGCTCCTTCGTGGCTTTAAGCACCCTGCAACAGCTGCTGCACCTGACAGACAACCACCTGTTAGGTGTAGGAGGTGGGGGGAGTGTGT